TGATATTTAGTGGTGAAAAAATTACTTAAAAGGAAAAATACTAAACTGAAAGTAACTTGAATTTCGCTACCACTAAAAAATACCATTTTACAAAGCGGAGCAAGTTTGCATCTCTGTAGAAGATGCAAACTTGCTCCAGACAGATTTAGAAGTTCGCCCAACGTCCAATCAGAATTGAACAAATGGGGAACACGCGTGGCCAGGAATACAAGCTCCTCCTCCTCCTGCGTGCCAACAATATATTTGAAAATTTATTCTAGTGGTACCTATTTTTCGTTTATGTTGAAATGTATTATTGCTTTTCAAATATGGGGCTGCAATTGCACTAACAAACAAGATAGAAAACTGCACGACATCACCAAAAATCTCGTGCTGACCATCTATGCTACTATTGACCTCACATTTTATCATGCTCACCATGGTTTTAATCTAGATATACTTGATATCATGATAACTAACAGTAATTCTCCACTTGCTCTACAGGTCATTGATGATCCATGCAGTGATCATTTACCAATTCTAATTACGACCTGCATCCCTAGATGAGAATAAGCTCACCCGAAAGAAAGTAGACTGGTGATTATATCACAATATTCTAACTAGATCTCTCCCTGAATCTACAAGCATTAATATCGTTTCTGATATCAATAATGCCATCATATCTCTAAACAACAAGCTGACTGAGCCGCAAACCAGGTCAACTCAGAAAGAGTACTCAACCTAAATAATTTTTAATTACCCAGGTTTACATTAAAAATAAAATCAGATATGAGAATGAATTACTTAATTTATTTAAATGCACTCTCAATCGAATTTGTAAGACAGAGTATAACAATCTTATTAAAGAAATTAAAATGCTTTGTAAAGATTTCCGAAATGAACTATGGAATGATAAAGTGGCCAACCTCAACAAAGAAGATAATTCGTTCTGGAATATGGCTAGAACCTTGAGAAGGCCTATCTTGGTTAACCTACCATTAAAGAATAATAATCAAACTGTTTATACAAATAACGATAAAGCAAAGGTGATTTCTAATGTAATGCAAGAGCAATTTTTACTAAATAATATTTCTTGCCCAATCAATGATAAGTATGTTAGCTAAACCTACGATAACATCTTAAATTCCATCAATACCAGTGATGAGGAAATAATCAACATTATTAAGAAACTAAAAAACTGAAAGGCCCCTGGCCACGATTCAATCACAAATGAGATGCTAAAAAATGCACCTCCCAGCATTATACCCCTGCCTAATAATATTTTCAACGCACGTTTAAGTCTCTGTTACTTTCCGGATATTTGAAAGACCTCTGATGTAATATTATTCCCTAAACCAGGTAAATGTGCTTCTGACCCAAAAAAATTTCTGTCAATTAGTTTACTCCCTAGTACCTCCAAAATATTTGAAAATTTTATACTCTAAGCGAACGATACAGCTATTGTGACAAAATCAATGTAAGAATGGGTCTAATGATGGATGTGTAGGATCATAATTTTGATTTGAGGGATAGCTTACTTTTACTGTTTAGGTAGCAACTAATTGCTCCTCGTGCAGCTTTTTTTTTTGTTAAGGAATTTAGTAATATGAGAATTCCGATTTAATAGAGAATCTAAGGGGAGTCCTATGTATTAAACGTTCTTAACCCAAGGGATAGGCTCGTTAAATATTTTCAGACAAGGGGTAAAAGTATTAAGTCTTTTCTTTTTTTAAAAAATTACTGCGAAGGGTTTATAGGCATTCGTTCTGATTTTCCAATCAACGAGCCAAAACACCAAATCATCCGAGTAATTTTAAAGATAATTTGTGATTTTCTAGAGTTTCTCTGAGTGGGCTGGAATAGCAGTATCATCTGCACAACACGCAATTCGTGACCCTTGGGGTCGGGGGATGTATTTAATGTATAGACGAAATAAAAGGGGGAAATAAGATTACCTTGTGAGACACCGGCCCAGATAGTTTTTGGGGTCTGAAATGTGATTATCAACTTTCGTGCGGAAATATATAAATATAGTAGTAATAGTAGCTCATTTCACGTCACACTAGAACTGCACAATGGGCTGTTAGCGACTGTCTGGGAAACATCCCTGAGGATGATCCGAAAACATGCCATCACAATTTTGATCCTCTGCCGAGGGGATGGCACCCCCGCATCGGTAGCCCAACAACCTGCATGCGAAGTCGAGCACTTTACGATAGCACAGTTTAACGAGGACCCATACCGCACACCCTCTGTCTCTACACAGACTGATCCAAGTGGTCACACACCCGCACACTGACCGCAGCCAGTGATGCTTGACTTCTGTGATCTGCTGATCTTAACGATCAGTCCACTGCGGGACGTATAAATATAAATAAAAGAGTTAATAATATGAATAAATTGGGCCGAAAAGCCAAGTTTCATGTGTTGTAAAGGAGGGCAGAGTGATAGACGAATGCTTTCGATACGTCCAAACAGACATCTCCAACGGTTTCTCTTTTCTAAAACTTTCATGTATTGATTTTTTTACCCGTAACAACTGATGGACCTTGCTGTGTTTAGCTCGGTATCCAAACTGCTCAGGATGAGGACATTATTGTCCTAACAAAACGTTTAGGAGGACAAATTCGTAAATTTCAGATATTCAGAACCGTAAAGAAATCAGTCCATAACTCGATGCCTCTGCAAGGCTCTGATCTGATTTTGGAATAGGAATTATTAATGCAGTCTTCCAAATATTTGGAAAATATGATCGCTCCATCATAAAATTATTACTGAAAGTAATAAATAGTATTTATTTAAGGGGAAAACTTTGATCAGGCAATTAAAATGTTAACTATACCAGGTTTTTTTTTCTTGTGTTCAATGTTTGCATAACTTCCTGAATTTCAGTAACCTGTACTTCTGCTTCATAAGGGTTTACAAGCTTGTCTTTGACTGTAGCTTTTAAAAATAGCTGTGTTTTCATTACCAAGAAAGTTATGCGGCTTAAATTGCTCATGGAGCGAATTAGCAATAGCTTCCGCGTTCTCATTAGAGAGTAAAACATTATCTGTGAGACTATAAGGGTGGAGGGGCATTCTTTGATAGAATCGATGTTTCGTCTTAAGGGCCTTCCAAAATGCAGTATGATCATCAGTTAAGGTTTCACAAATATCATTCCAGGATTTTTCTTGAAATTCTTTTATGTCCGATTTGCTCTCATTTGGGAGTCCACGTATTGTCCTTAAATTATTTAGATCTCGAGTTTTTTGCCAAATTTAACGCACATAGTTTTGTTTTCTATTTTATTAATAATATCTGGGGGTAGGTTTTTGAGAGAATTTGGGAGTAGATTATTATTTGAAGTATTACTTTCTAGTGTTATTAATAATTTTGTTTATTTCATTAACGGAATTTTTAGCATCATCCAACGTTTTGAAATTTGTTAGGGATTGTCATTCAACACGCTCGAGAATTTCGTCCAGTCAGTGTTGAGCTGACCCGGAGTGTTGAAGTTGAGCATAACTGTATCTAAGGTTAAAATTACTGGATAGTTGTCAGAACTTAGTGGGTTAGCAGCGATAATCTGAGTATTATAGAGAATATATTTGAATGACGCAATGTCCAAGGTTGATCTCACTAGGCACACTAATATTTATATAGATTTGGCAACGAAACCCCGGAATTTCGACACGATTCTAGAATATTCTTGTATTATTCCTATAGCTTTAAAACTTTAATTTTCATTATGCACTATTTTTGTGCAAAAATGGTAGCAAAATATAGCCATGTCTGGACAAATGTCTCAAAACCAAGTCTATATTTAGGAATAATTAGATGTTATTTTTCTCTCTAAATTACGATAGATTTACGTAGTTTCCCTGTGGTTTTTTTTAATTAAACTATTTATCTGATATATTTAGTCTCATAACAAAAGAATATTCGCAAAGATATTCTCACATTTACAAATTCGCAACAATAATATACGCGTGTCACTCTGAAATTTTTGAGATACAACTAGGTTTATAAAGTAAAACTTACAAAATTTTAAGTGTGTTCAAAATAGTCTCCTCCAGCATCAGTGCACTTTTGTAGTCGAATTTTCCACAGATTAAATTCCTCAAGCTATTCATTTCTTGAAATGGATGAAACAAATGCATTTATAGCCACATCAATCTCTTCATCTGAATGAAAACGACGTTTTTGGTGCTCATTCAGATTTTAAAGAACCCAACGGCAAATTACTTTTTTCATATGTAATTCTTCATGAATAATTTTTGTGTATGGCTGCGGATCCAATGTTAAGTTCCTTCTGTATGATTTGGTAGGCACAGCGATTATCATCCTTTAACATTTTTCGTATGGCAGACACATTATCCGGGATTGCTGTCGACGGTGGCCTTCTTCATCCTGAAAAGAATTCCGACCTTTGCTAAATTCTTTAAACCATCTGAATACAGTAGCACGAGCTGGAGATTCATCACAGCTAATTGCAACCGTTGAACGCATTCTTCTTAACTTAATCCTGCTTTGAAATCGCAGAAAAACATAGCACGAAAATGTTCTCGCGTCAACTCTATTTTCTCTTCTGCTTAAAATTTATTCTACGCTAAACAAGTTGAAGTAAGTCAGTAAAAAAATAGTGTTCTGTGTAAAAATACTTTGTATTTATTTTGAAATTAAACCGTTATTTTTCATTTTGTAAATTCTCGTCTGCGCGTATCTCAAAAATTTCAGAGCAAACCTCGTATGTGATTGCATAGTGTATAAATGAATGTTACAGACAGTGAGTGCCAGTTAAAATTAACCTTGACTGGTTATACGAAACTGGGTATAGATTCAAATACCCATTGCAGGTACCCGGTACTGTATATTGAAATTCGTCAACCGTGGTCGGGTAGTAAGCAGACAATGAAAGTCTGGTTGGTAAGAGCTGCTTACCCGGTACATCTCTAGTAGAGATTAATTAAATGTAATTAAGAAAAAAAACTAAAGAATATTACAAATGTCGAATAAAGCAGCATAGAAATAATGAAACATTATGTTCTTATTATTTATTAATAAGAATTACATTTGTACATTTTGTTTGCTCTTTCAATATCATTTTTGGACAGTCCTGGCTTTTTGGCTGGGTGAACTAATTTCTGTCCATTTTTGGCCACCATCGTGTCTTTTCCATTCTTGGAGAAGGCTTTGTTACCGTAAATCATGATGGAATCGTAATCAAATGAATTGTACAAAATATTACTTTCTGGATTAAGTTTTCGGAAGGCATACTTAACACCTAGATTAAAGATTATAGATTTGAACTAAAACATAATAAATACTTACAATTTCATGCCTAAGCTACGTGGTAAATAACTTCGGACTTTCACCTACAGTTTTAATCCTTAATAATTCAACTTTTATTTTAAAAGTAAATATTTGTACTTTGATAAATTTTCGTAAACAATGAAACATATATTTTTTTATTTTTTTTTCAATGTTTGAATCATCGAAGATGTGAAATACCAATCAAAAAAATATAAATAAGATAACACAAAAATGTAAAGTTAATTAGTAGATGCCCGTAGGTCGATTTGCGCTAGACAATATTAGAATTGTGCGCTTAGCAGCATGCAAATGTGCACCACACACTAAGTTAACACATTTTTATACGTTTCCGCTAAGTTTACAAGCAATTTACTCACCACTTTGTGTCACAGTAAATAGTTTTAAAACAATCTTACCATTAGGCTAACTAGGCCTATCATTGACATTATCTAAAAGTAAAAAATCTGTTTTAATTTTTGCACAGTGGCGAGTACTAGACCTGTTTCTGAAAGCAATTGCGCAATAATTTTGTATTCTGATCATTTGAAAGGTTAGAGTTGATGCTTGATTCAGCAATTCTCCTGTCTTCTGTATCGGGAGCAAAATTACACGGCTCTGCATTTGAAAATCGATAGCTGTAAACTCAGATTTAAGACGGCTGTTCATCTATGGTTATATGGTTATTAAATATAGAAAAATTTGTTACGTTAAAACTAAAGTGGAGGCAAGAACAATTTTAATAAGTTAAGCATACTCATATTGCTGCCTATTAAGCATATCCACTTTATGTTATTGATTAACTTATCTCTAAAAGTATCACTTACGTGAGTCATCAAATAAACTCCTCAACCATTTTGATAACAGCAGCAAATAATTTTGATATTTACATACTGTTTTTGCAGATATCCCATCTACACATATCCAAGAACAAGTTTATTATTAAATATCTCATCATACTTTTTTTTTAAAGAAGCAAAACATTTACTTACTTTGTTTAACATTTTCCAGATAAATGATCAAGTACTCATCTCTGTCTGATCTGTTCTGCTCGTGGAAGAAGCCAATTGTGTGTCCCAACTCATGGACTATTGTACCAAATTGGTAACAACCATTAGCAAGAGATAATTTCTGCGGACCGTTAATTTTACCCACATGAGAATAGCACCTGAGGTGACAGAAATGAAATAAATTATGCTTGAAGCATTNGACCTCCTACGATTTCTTTAATTAAAATATTTAATTTGCAGTTATAGGGATTTCGCTACAGATATTTGAACTATCTTTGTAATTGTAATTTTTTTAAATATCTTTGTAATTGTAATTTTTATAAAGATAATCCTTTTTCTCTTACTTCTTTGCAAAATGATAGATGCAATTATTTTAAAGCGTGATATTTAATAAAGCGTGATAATTTTTTGTTGTAGGAAAAATATTAGTCTGAAGTAAGAACTTTTGTATTGTTTACATTTTTTTTCATTTCTTTAAAAAAATGTCACATTTGTTGTCCTTCTGGCTAAAGAATTCTGCATTAATTTTATCTATCTTTGCATTTTTCATGTCAATAGCAAAATATTTGAAAAAATATGTATTTTTTGTAAAAAATTTCCTGAAGTGGAAAAAAAAAATTTTTTTTTTTACTATTTTGAATTGGTGATATTCCGTCGACCTGATTATGACAATGTAAGCTCTATTACCATATTTTGTCTCTAGAGCATCAGAAAATTGAAGATTATTTTCTATTTTGAAGTTTAAACCTTCATTTTTTCAGTACATATTTTATTTTATTTTTCAATAAATTCACATTGTTCGTATTCTTGTTGATCTTATTTTTAATGTCTAAAATGTTCTTTTCTTTAACATTTTCATAAATATTTTCATTTTTTGTTTATTCTTATTTAACATTCCTTTTTTTCTAATGTTATTTTTGCCCTCTTTATTTTTATTTATAATTTTATTTTATTTATCCCTACTTAAGTCGCGATATTTAACCTGGATTTTAGGAGAAACATGCAAGGACAAATGGCTTTTATAATCAGAAAAATTTATCAGAATGAAAGCTTTCAAGCTTAATATGGTATAAGGTAAATCAGTATTTAAAATTTAAATTTCATCTGACATCGATATTTTTTTAATCTGAAATGCAAGCTTGGTTAAGTTGCAAAATATCTATCGTTTGTTTTACATTTAAAAAAAATTTCTTTCCTTTGGACAATTCATTTAATGGCATTTTAAGTTTAGACATTTTTTAAAACACTGTTAATGCCGACATTTTAATTGGGAGTTTTATTAGTCACAATCAGGTATTAGGCAATTCTGGTGTTTTCATTTTTATATAGAAGTTATTTTGAGTGTACCGGATACTATTACTTATCAATTTGTGCTCGGTCATTTCCTTATCCAAATAATAAATATAATTATTAATGCTTCGTTTTTTCCCTGAAACAGAAGACGGTAGAGGGAAAAACTTGTGCTATTTTCCCTAGGATAAAAACACAAACACACAAATTTCGGAGAGTGGTTTGGACTCCTCAAATGCATGAATTTGCTTTAAACAGACAATGTGAAGCTCGGTCATCTCTTTAAAAGCGACTTAAATTAACGTCATTTTCCATACAACTGTTTGCCTGCGTTCCTGAACATTCGATCATGACCCACTAACATCTCAAACTGGCGGAATCAGCAGAATGAAAAAGGAAAAAAATCCTAGTCTTTTTTTTCCCTACCGTTTCCAGTTTAAATGAATACTAGAACAATGGCTTCCATCTGAACCAAATTCTGACGGCGAACAGTTTCAAAGGGGAAGACTGGGTGTAGATGGCGGATAGAACATAAGACAAAAATTATTTCTGAAGGACAAAAAATTCCTGTGATTTAAATAATTGCCCAATGATGCAACATAAAATACCCTGTCGACGTCCAAAGTTTGTTGCCGAAAGCAAAGATAAAACAGGTTTTAAGTAGGAGAAAAGGGCACAATATTTATTTAATTATTAAGATTTCCCTTACTCTTCCCTAAAACGAATCATTTTATGGATTTATTTTGCATGATTTTCTCTAACTTTCATTGAGGATTGTGTCACATCTATGATTGTTCTCTCTCTCACAATAATTAAATATTGTTCTCTCTTCCCCTGCCTAAGGCCTGTTTTTATCCCTCTCGGCAACGACTTTACATTTTATTTTCTGCTTTTTGCTTCATATATTTGTTTGTTTTTTCGTATATATTTTTTACTTAATGTGTTCTAATTTCGTTTAATTTTTTTTAGTGCTCCTCACACTATTGTATTGATATTGCTTTGGCTATATTAATACAATATTAGCACTCCTTTTTGCGGATATAATCGTGTGGGCTGATGAAGAGATTTTATCTTTTCTTTGTTTGTTTTCCAGATTTTTAATATTCTTTTTAATATCAAAAATTATATTTTTTTTAAATACTTTTAAAAATATTTTTAATAATTTTCTTCTCTTGTCATTATTTTTTATTATTTTCCATATTTTCTCAATATTTTAGCCTATTTTATGAGTTCTATATACTTGCAGCCTATGCGCAGTTAATAAAACTTATTCATTTTCTTTGTTTTTCTCTTTGTTTTTATTGTGCTATATATATACACACAGGGTGATTCTAAAAAGATGGGCAAAATTTTAGGCAGTAATAGTACACACCCAAGCAAACAATTTCTATCNTATACACATACATATTATACATATACATATTATATATTATATATACACAGAGAGAGAGAGAGCGGAGAAAGAGGGATAAACATTTTGACTTACCCTGTCCCTATAAAGATTGAGACATAGTTCCTTTCGTCTGTTCTTGGAACAAATTGAATGCAGGTGTTATTATGGAAATTATCCATAGCTTTCTTGATTAAGGCTACTCTACTGCTTCCTTCATAAATATAAAGCATTTTAATAAACCACTTTTTATCTATCATTGTAACGTTCGCTTAGCGAAAATGGAGAAAAAAGAACATCGTGAAGAAGCAAGAAAAACGAAAAACAATGTAAACATTAAACACAGTAAGAAAAAATACAAAAATGATTCTCAATATAAATTATAAGTCATATACTCGTCCATAAAAATGCATTTTCACTTCTGCATAAAACTCGTTTTTTCCTTCAACAAAAATGAAACAGCATTTTTTTATGTAAATATAGAGTAACATTGTTTAACATTGTCTTCAATGACAATGATAAAAACATTTTCCTTCATAAAAAAAACTTTTTTAAAAATTATTCATTTAAAAAACTCCATACAGTTTTAAAAAATAATCTACTAATCACAGTACCATATGGCCGAAACTGTGCAACAATCTGAAACTGTAGTGTACAACTATCTGATCCTCCTAAAATTTTCCCAAGAACCCCGAAATATACAAACAAAATGCAAAATATACTGTTTTTATTGCCTGTATTTAACCTCTTTTTTACTATTTTTAATAGGAGTATTTTTCTACTTTTTTCACTTAGTTCCCAAGCGGAGAAAATTACACTTTAGTACTCAATATAACAGCACTGTGAAAAATTTCTTGAAGAAAATGATTAAATAACTATTTATTTCAGAGTTATTTTACCATATTAAACCAAAACAAATTACTACAACTGTTAAAGATCGTTAATTTACTGTTTTCAGTTCATGCTATTACTTAACCAGAAATTTCTTTTCACCCAAATAAAAGGCAAGAAGTATCAAGTCTTCTAAAGCTGTAAGCCAAGCTATGTGATAAAAATGATTTCCTTTTCTTATTTTACATCATCGGATGTCAAACCTAACAACAGTTGCCAAATAATCTTATAGCAATAAGTGTATGGCACAGCAACTGAATTTACGGAGTGAATTTGTAGCACCATGTTTACAAATAAAAATTTGTCTGCTACCTCAATGCAGTCAGTTAGAGTTAGTTATCAGTTTTTAATAAAAAATTCAGCTTAATCAAGAAACATGTAACTAAATTTGCCAATATGATCTTAAAAACTAAATATAAAGACTTTATTTTGTTTAAATTTAATAAAGAAATGGAATAAATCCTTATACAATTAGGCCCGTAATCAAGACAGAAAAAAAATATTCTTTATTTTATTTTTTTATTTTTTTTTTTGTTCTCCTCAGTTTTTTTTTCAATATTATCATACACAAGCTTAGAAATGCTTTAAAAATGAGTGTCTGCAATTTTTCAGCATTAGTTTGTTGGCTTTTTGAAAATGAAAAGTCTAGTATTTCCCCTCAATCGATAAGATGGATGTTACTTTCAGAATAACTAGCGCAGCTGCAAAACTTAAAATCTATAGTATTTCAGAAAATATATATACAAAAGGATAATATTACAGTTATGTTAGTAAATGAGATTGATAAATGGTTTAACAGAGCATTTGAATCTGTTTATAAATCAGTATCTTACTTATAGAAGAGTGAATGACATAAGGAATTGTCGCATTTGGCCATCTCCACCTTTTTGAAGCGATAACGTTTCGTTCAATGTCCTGTAAAAAATGATAAATACCACTTGAAACTGCACAATAAAATTAAGTGAATGAAGGAAATTGAAGTTGATTGTAATAAAGTAACCAACAGCTTTGAAATTAAGTCTATTGAGAAAAAATAATGTAAATGCAAAATTTATTATGTTAACATTATTTTCAACTTTTATTATCATTATTATTATTATATAAAATTTTTATTATTATTAATTAATTGTAAAATTATTATTAATTTACCTATATAATAAAACTAAATAACTCTATAACTAATATGTATATGAAACTTAGCGGTAAGTATTAGAAGTAGAGAGCAATTAAAATTATAAAGAACTTTATTTTTTTTAAAACAGATGTTTCAGATGTGTTACTGATATAACCTCGATGCACATTTTTTTTCACTGCATATTTTGAATTTTATTAAATTAGTTATTAAATTTAATTAATTTGTTGGCGTATTAAAACAACTGAGTCGATGACAGTTAAAAATCTTTATTCAATTTATTGAAAATGCTCTTAATAAAGTTTTTATTGAAAAATAATATAGTTTATCATAATTCTTCATATCTTTATAATTATTTTAAAGAAAATGAATATGTTAAGCAGTAGGAAATTAAAACGATAATAAATATATTAAGAATTAACATCAAAAGTGTGTTTGAAGTTAAATTGCGTTTTTTTTAGATAAAACAAAATTTTATTTCATAAAAAAAAAGATTTTTCGATTTTAAAAAAAGGTGAAAATTGCATTTACTATGAAGAAAAATTTTATAATTTTATTACTTTTTTAAGATGTGGAAGTTTCAATCCTAAAGAAGCCTAATTTCTAAGGTTTATTACACTTTTTTTTAGACCATTAATTCTTTAATTTCAAAATGCAGTTTCAGTTTCATATCTTTTCCTTCTATTATCTAATTTCATATCTTATTTCTTTATCAAGACATATTGAAGAAGAACAACAAGGCAAATACTGAGTAACATTTTATCCTTTTTATAATAAGATATTTTGCTATCTAACATTTTTGCAGAAGATATAAATTATTAGATCAATTTTGTTTTGTTTTTTTTTAAAAAATGTGATTATACTTAATTATAAAACAATTCTTACCAAAGGTCCATCGATACCAGCCATATCACCATCATATAAATCAGGATTTTCAAGAGCCAAAGTAGCTTCTGAAATTTTCAAGCTTTAATTTAGTAAACATTTTGAAATCTATTTAATAATTAATCAATCAATTAAATAAACTTATAGAAGGTTACGACAAAATATATTTGAGTTGTAGTGTCACAGGGGATAGAAAGTTCGCCTTCCATTGAGGACACCCAGGTTCGAATCCTAGTGGTGGTTAGTTAATACGAATTCTGCTCCCGACTTGCTCCGACCACAGTGCTGATGTAAAATATCCTCAATGAGAGATGGATCATGGGTTAGAATCCAATTCAACACTATAGTCTCAATCTCTGTGGAAAAAACACGAATTACCTCGAATTTATTGATTTTTTTTTTCATTTGAAAAGGTTTCAAAAGGTAAGTTTTACACGAAATTTCTTGCCAACTGAAACATAATGAATCAAAAAATGCGTTTACTAGGCACTCTTTAAAATGTACCATAAAAGGCTGCAAAAGATTTCTCTTCAGAATGTTTTCTTCGGCGCAGTTTTCAAGTAAGATTTTAAGTTTCCCCTAGAAACAAATAGGAATTGTGTTAATTTTTCTAAAAAAAAGCTATAGTAGAGGAATTCAGTAGAGGAAGAAATAAAATACTTTTTGTACGAAGTATGTGTTCCAATATTGAGGCTCATTTGCGGGGTACCTAAGAATCTGTCTCGTAATTATGTACTTTGACTCATTAAAATTTTAATGTTCATATTGTAATTCTCCATTAAGGCCGTTTATTGAAGGCTCTGACGTAATATTAAATTATGCTTTTTTTGCCAATAATATGCTATTTTAATAACTTCCGTTTGTTTGCAACTGTTACTCATAACTGTTAGGTCAAGTTTAGATACCTAAAGCCAGCGTTGTCTACTCTTATTTTGAAAATGGAGCAAAGCATAAATATGGGGAAAAGTCATAGTTCTTGGAAAATTAAAAGCGTTTGTGTTCTAATTGTTTAATATTTAAAAACTTCTCTAATGCTGCAGTACCTGGGCTCATAAAAGTTTACTACTACACTACTAACTGATAAAACAAGAATAAACCAAGATTGATGCTCTCTGAGAAATTGTCAGCATACCTACTAAATCACATTTCCAAATCGAAGTATATGTGTCTATTAACAAGTTGAAATCCGAAAAATAAAATTTAAATTAAATTATTTAATTAAATTATTTAATAAAATCTAAATTAAATTATTTTATTAATTCGCAAAAGTATCAGGACACTTATTTCAACACTTTTTAAGTATTTAATGATCATAGAAATCCTGTCATAATATTGTAAATCTAAATATACTCTCACCCTCCAAGCCAGATGTTATTTAAAGCAGCAGCATTTAGCCAAGACAGCAGAATGATGGAAAACTCGGGAAAACTGAAATAATTCGCCTTTCTAAACGCAGGGGGTGAACAGTATACATTGAAATCATTACAATATTTTAACTTAAATCAATTTTTGTAAACCTTCAATTAATTCAGCCTTCAATAAGACAAACTATTGCATGTCGATTGTACAGTTTAAAGCTCTATTAAAAATGCTATTACTTTGCTATGCTATTATTTTTTATTTTCCTTCTCCACAGAGCTTCGAAAACTACGTTAGCAATACTATTCTGTAGTGAGTGACCGCGTGGCTAAATTAAAATACACTACTAACTAATTAAGCATGAATAAACCAAGATTGATGCTGTCTGAGAAATTGTCAGTTTGCCTACCAAATCATATTTCCAAATTGAAGTATATGTGTCTAAATGATGGAAAACTCAGAAATATTGAAATAATTAGTGTTTCTTAAACGCATGTTGCAATCAGTATGCATTGAAATAATTACCAAATTTTAACTTATTCCACTTTTTTTAAACCTCCAATTAAACAAAAAAAAACTATTAATTGCACAGTTTAAAGGCGTGTTAAAAAATTTTAAAACAACGTTCGATTTTATTGGTTTTTTAAATTTTGAGTGGGACGCAAGACTGGAAAATATCAGCCTGTTTTAAAGATTTTTATGCAATTTATGTGACTTTTATGTTCTTTTTAAATGAGACATCTCCTCAATGAAGCATTTTGAATTTAAGAACTCCTTTAGGACCTCCCTAGTATACACCCAATGCACATAATCCTATTCCTTATAAGGTGCCTCGCTTGCCCTAAATTATTGTATCCATCCTCTCCCTCTATGTTGAATAGTTTAGTACTAATCCCAAAGATTTTTTATTTTGCCTGAAAAAGAAATATACTTATAAAAGATATATATACATATATATCATATATACAGGGTGTTTATAAAGTCCCGGATCCATTTTGATGTTTAATAACTCATAAAATAATAAAGATGGATTAAAATTATTATCATAAATGATTAGATAGACTCAAAAAGTTTCATGACCCTTGTTGGCGCCTCTCTCGGCTTTGGCTTC